CTCTTCCGAGAAGCGATCGCTCACATTCCGGAGAACGCGATAATCATCGATGTCGCGCCGCATTGCCAGTTGCAGGCGATCCTGCGTAGATCGCTACCACCGACGGTGATCAACGTCAGCCTCCAAAAACGAAATCATTCAAACAACCTGGTCTTCCTGCTCTCTAATGTGGGAAAGCTGTATATAGCCGGTGCGCAACCCGATATCTCCAAATTGTATCCGCCGGTCAGTTTTCCCGTCAGTCGCGGAACGCCGATGATCGGACCTCTGATCAAATGGGACCACTCCGCTACGTGGAAGGTGCCAGATTTTAAACACAAGTCAAAAGAATGGTCTGGGAAGTATGTTGTGGAAATAGATTTATCGAGAAAAACAGACACATATCTAGCGGGACATATAATCGACGGGCGACTCATATTTCCGGCCGCTGGCTTTATATTGATGGTATGGAAAATGTTCGCGAAACTACGCGACATCGATTTCGAGCAAATGTCAGTCATCTTCAGGAACCTGTGGTTCCAGCGGGTTACTTTCTTACCGAAAAAGAAAACGATCAAGTTTTTGATAACCATTCTTGAAGGAAATGGCGATTTTGAGGTTCGCGAAGCCGACGCTGTTGTTGTCAGTGGAAATATCCGTGTTGCCGAGGCCATCGAGAAAGATCAGCTGCCTCCGCTTTCGATGCCGCCCACCGAGTTTTTGATGAACACTGAGGACATTTATAAGGAATTGAGACTGCGCGGATATGAATATATTGGTATTTTCAAAGGGTTAAAATCCTGCGATATTTCCGTCACCGTCGGCGAGTTACGCTGGTTCAACGAATGGTCTTCGTACATGGATAATATGTCTCAGTTTAAAATATTGTCTAGCGATCGGAGACTGGTATACGTATCGAAGATCCGATATGTCGCGATCAATCCCGTTCTTCATAAACGATTGGTCAATGAGTTACCGAAGGACGGCGGATTGCCGATATATCATTATAAAAACATCGATATCGTCAAATCGGGCGGTATTGAATACGGAGGTTTAAAATTTACCACACCTCAGCGACAACAAATTGCAATTAAACCTAAGTACGAACGTTACGTTTTCGTGCCATACGAAAATCCGCGCAGCTTACTCTTGGAAGAAGAAAACCCTATGAATGAAAAGATGCACGCGCTCACTGTACTGTTACAAATCGTGTGTGAGAACATAACGACGTCGAGAATCAAGGCAGTGGAAATCGCGGGCAATCGAGCCGCGAATAGCCTCTTAGCGCCGCTTCTACTCAATATTCTCCATGCCGAGCCCTTAGTCACCGTAAGTATTCACTACAAAATTTTAATAAACGTTGTCGTGACTTCAGAAAACGAACAAAAATCTCGGATAAATAGTTTCGATCGAGAATTCGCAGTATAAAATACATATTTTCTAATATATATGCAATTGCTATAAATGTAAATTTTATTATATTGTAAGTCTTTTTTTACGTGCACGGTTCTAAATGAATGTGAACATATTCCTTCTGTTATTTTAGATTGACCTACAGGTAGCCAACAGTTTCGCATGCAATTACACAAGTTTCAACCAAATGAACGATGATGCGAACGACACATTTTCAGTTCAGAATGTACAGCTCATCATAGCAGCGGAAGTTTTCTCTGGCCAATCTTGCATTGTTCTGAAAAATCTGGCGGCTGCCTTAAGTTCCAATTGCTTTATTCTTCTAGAAGAGACCGTCACACGACCCAACTTGAAGACCACATTAACAGAGGCAAATCTGATATTGGTCGGTAAACAAATGGACTCTTCGGGAAAAAGTTATCTCTTATTGAAAACACGAAGGAAGAGGAAAGAACCGATCATAATACAGATCTCGGGAGAAGATTTCTCATGGCTGGAAAATGCGAAAATGACGTTAAAAAAATTTGACAGCGACGGTCAAGAAATGCTTTTTATATCCCAAGGCGAAGAGTTACTTGGTAAAATTACAAAAGAAATTATATACTGAATATGCTTATATACATGCTTATATATGTATAATAATTTTTGAAATAATAAAATTAAAAAATTTATTTTTAATTTTTAAAAGTATTTATTTAAAAATAATCTTTTTTTTTTGTACTTTATTCGAGCATTTATCAGTAGACTTGTTACTTTTTGCAGGTCTAGTTGGATTCATGACCTGCATCCGGCGCGAGATCGCAAACGTGCGTTATGTTTTCATCCAGGACACTAATGCTCCCAAATTCGATTTATTCTCGCAATTCTACGCGGATCAATTAGAAAAAGGACTAATGGCTAATGTGTTGAAGGAAGGTGAATGGGGCAGTTATCGGCACTTGCACATAGATTGGCATAGCGACGTGCGAGTAGAGCATGCCTATGTGAAAATACTGACAACGGGAGATTTGAGTAGCCTGAAATGGATTCAAAGTTCATTAACATATCAGACGAAATATTCAAATACACTTTGCAGTGTGTACTATGCGTCGTTAAACTTTAGGCAAGTTTCGACGAGTGTTTTTTGCTTTCTCGACTAAAACCATGAAAATAATATGTTGATGAATACTTGTTGATAAATGAATTTTGTACTAATAACAGGGACATTATGCTGGCGATCGGTAAACTATCAACGAATGCTCTTTCATCGTTAGGACTTGCTACAGAGGATTATGAATTAGGACTAGAGTTTTCCGGGAGAGACGCAAACGGTTGTAGAGTGATGGGTTTAACCAGAGGATTATCTAGAGGATTGGCGACCACCGTGTTGCCGGATACCGGTTTTCTTTGGAAGGTACCCGACAAATGGACGTTGGAGCAGGCGGCGACAATACCGATCACTTATGTGATCAGTTACTATGCTCTATTTGTACGAGGTAAATTGAAGAAGGGCGAGAGCGTGTTGATACATTCCGGTGCGGGTGGTGTCGGCCAAGCGGCGATCGTCATCGCCCTACATGCTGGCTGCACGGTCTTCACCACCGTCGGCACGCCGGAAAAACGGCTGTATCTCAAAAAGACCTTTCCGCAATTGACCGATAAGCACATTGGCAACTCCCGAGATATGAGTTTCGAACGGCTGATCCTTGACAATACGCACGGACGTGGAGTTGATGTGGTATTGAACTCGCTGGCAGAAGAGAAACTGCATGCCAGCATACGATGCCTTGCGACAAACGGTCGCTTCCTCGAGATCGGGAAATACGACATGTTGAATGCCAACCGCATAGAGATGTCGATATTTTTAAGGAACATTTCTTTCCACGGTATACTCTTAGAATCGCTGCTTGAAGACAGCGAAGACAAGCGAGAAACGATTAGGCTGGTTTCGGATGGAATCGAGAATGGCGTAGTGTGTCCATTACCGACGACAGTATTTCCAAAGCGAAGCCTCGAGCAAGGATTCAGATTTATGATGACGGGCAAGCATATCGGCAAGGTACTACTGAAGATTCGAGACGAAGAGCCGCGAAAATGCATGTTGCCGATGCCGAGGACGATGACAGCTGTACCGTGTACCTACATGAATCCGGAGAAATCGTACGTACTGGTCGGTGGTCTCGGTGGATTCGGTCTGGAACTGACCAATTGGATGATCGCTCGCGGCGCTAGATTCATCGTTCTCGTGTCGCATACCGGCATACGCACCGGTTACCAGACGTCACGCGTCCAACATTGGCGCGAGAATGGCATTAAAATCATTATTTCTACAGCGGACATTACGACGTTTTCGGGCGCCGAACGTTTGATCGACGAGAGTAATCGGCTGGCTCCGGTAGGCGGTATATTTAATCTGGCCGTCGTGTTACGCGATGCTTTGTTTAACAACCTGCAGGTGGCCGACTTCGAGGCTGTAGTCTTGCCAAAAGTCAACGGTACGAGAAATCTAGACGCGACATCGAGAAAGTCCTGTCCGTCATTAGACCATTTCGTCGTGTTCTCATCCATATCGTGCGGCCGGGGTAATCCGGGTCAATCCAATTATGGTCTCGCAAATTCGGCCATGGAGAGAATGATGGAGAAGAGACATGCTGCCGGTTTGCCCGGTCTTGCTATTCAATGGGGTATTATAGGAGACGTCGGTTTATATGTTGGTGAGGCTTTTTCTATTTCTTTCCATGAGATTCAATGATTTTCGATCTTCTTTCGGATCTGATATATTCCTCCTTTTGATTCTATAAATTTTGCCTAAAAAATGTTTTCATTTTACTTATAAATAGTATCCATATAATCAATATAATGGATTGCACGACTCTTCGAAAAAGATAATTATTCTGTATTATATTATTTACTTTTATTTATGGGAACATTAATAACTTCCTATTGCAAAAAAGATATAAACGCAATAAAGTAAAAACTGGAGATATACTATTAATATAAAATATAATTACAGAATAATAATATGTGTATTATTAAAATAAAATAAGAATTAGACGTTTAAATATATAAAATATCTTGGCCACATCGTAAAAACCAACAATAATCATTTTTTATATTCGTTATCACTGTATGATACTCCGACTTTTACAGATACAAAGAATAAAAACATCGAGACAAGTAATATTTTACCGCAACGTATGACCAGCTGCCTTGCTACCCTGGACATTTTTCTTCAGCAACCGTATCCGATATTATCGTCCATGGTAGCCAAGAAACACAAATCCGCGAATAACAGCAGCAAAGTTGATTTTATTCAAGTTGTTGCCAATATCCTCGGTATTGAAAACGTCAATTCAAAAAATGTCGATGATAACCTCGACAATTTTGGTATCGATTCGCTGGGTTACTCGGAGCTAAAACAGATTCTTGAGAATGAATATGATATCATATTATCGTTCCAAGAGATATATGCCTTGACAATACGCAAATTACTAAATTTATTACCGGCAAGCTATGTGTCTCGCGATTCTTCAACAAGTTAAAAAAATGCAAAGATGATCGCAAGTCTCCTACATATACCTTTTAATTTTTTAAATATTCTTTGTTTAAAACACTTCTTTCTAATATCTAAATAATAATAATGATTGTATTTTACTGCAGTTTATACAAATCGCTAAGTGCGTATAAATTAATTATACGACTGTATTAAAAGAATCAGCTGTAAAGAATTATTTCATATTTTAATGAGCTTTAATTATTAGCGACGTTAAGTTTTTCATGATTTTATGGTCACACGGTTGAAGGTAACATAAAAATTGTTGTTAAAAGTTTAATTATTATTAAAAA